GCGGCCAGCGTCATGGCTCTGTCTTCGGCCAACCGTTCCCAATGCCCACCCTCAGTCCCCATTTCCCACTGAAAACTTCCTTCCCTTTGCGTGCACCCTGGCCTCCAAAGCCTGGCAAACTACCCGTGACGTATTCGATATGCCAAAAACAGTAACAAGTCTCACAATTTGTTGTGACACGTTACTGGTGCCCACTCGAGCAAATCTATGGACAACGGAGGACAGTGCTACAGTGCTATATCCATTGTAATTGATGAGTGGTACTCCCCCCACCCCTTTCTCTCACTGGCTATTAAGACCATTTCGTAGGAACAGGGATGTGACTCAGTGGCAGAGCGTAGACCTTGCATGAGTGAGGGCACCCCAGGAGGGAGGAAGATGCGTTTCATAAATGCGGTGTTGAGATTTTTATAGCATAAGATTCATTATCAGTATAGTGATAATGGCAACATCCTACAAATCAGTATGTAGTTGTGAAGGTGGTACTCTAGTTAGATGATCTCATGCACAGGCTGGGATTACTACCTTCCCTCTGAAAGTTATCCATTTCCATAAGAGGTTCTTTTTATACCTTGGAGAGCATCCATAGTTCTTGTCTATTTTGGGCCTCCTGTAAGTACAGAAAAGTAAAGCGGATCTGAATGTAAAATGAAGGAAAGACCCAAGTCATCAGAGAATTTCTTCACAGTTACCAGCAAAAAAAAAAAAAAAAAAAAAAAAAAAACCCAAAAACGAACTCTTACAAAGTTAAGGTAAAAACTACTCTCCAGGGCCTCAGAACCCTTCTAAAGTTTCAAAGTTGACAAAGCTGCGGTCACTACAGGTACAGGCTAGCCTGTGGTGTAACCATTCAACGATCAGTCTTCATTGGTCTCTCTCCTCAGGCAGCTTGAACTTGGGGAAACGAATTTTGTTCTCTTTCCTCATTCCTTGATTTATTCTCTCAACCAACTAACTATCAAGCCTTTGTGAGTAACAAACTTTTCTCGCTTCAGAGAATGAGGAAAGGATACAATATGGATCCTTTGAGCACTGAAGGTGTTTATAAACTGGTAATAGTGATAGGCACATGAGACAAATCAATAATTAATATTGCTCTGCTTTTATTTGTATTTGAATGGCTGTTCTTTTTTGTTTTGCAATGCTCAAGGCTTTCTTCTGACTCTGCACTCAGGGATCACTCCTGCTAGGCTTGGTGGCACTATATGGGGTACTGGGTGTTGAACCCAGATTGGCCATTTTCAAGGCAAAAATGCCTTACCCATTGGACTATCTCTCCACCCTTGAATTTGAATTTTTATTAATATGTTCACATAGTACATCCTGGCTGAAAGTTGAAATTGTCATTTAAGAACTAATGATGTAAGAATTCCACAGTAATGTATTTAGAGATCTAATAACAGAGGTATGTTTTTATTTTATTAGGAAGCTCTTATGCAGATGATAGTTGCTTATAAAATGGCATAACAAAAATAATAAATGAAACTGTAGTCTCCTCTAGCAGGGCTAATAATTTGCAGAGGGGAGTGCTGTAGATGAGGTCTTGCTTTGGTGGCAGGTCTCTTACCTATCTTTCAGGTTATCGTTACAGACAGGAGCTGCTAGATAGAATCTCTGAAGCAATTTACTTCTTTTGCTTATCTACAATCTTGCAGATCTTACGGCTTATAGTTTCACTTACCACCAGAAGTCAGGGACACGCTCAGATTAATCAGAGATTTTGGAAATAATGCAGAAAAGTACCACGGCTTGAGAATAGTAAGTATTAGTGCTTCCTATGAACTTAATGCCTAAACTGTTTAAGGACCAAAGAAATAGGCCAGGAGTTAATGGGCTGACCTTGCTTGCTGCCAACCTGGTTCTATCCCCAGCCGCACATGATTCCCCCAACCACCACCTGGAGTGATCTCGGAGCACAGAGCTAGGAGTAACTGATTACTGCTGAGTATGGCTCTGAAACTACAGCAACCAGCAAAGTTTGTTTGATTTGCTCTTCACAGCCACTTTATGAAACTTGTACTGAGAAGTCTTGGGTGGGCTGAATTAGATCTCTGTGGGAAGTCGTTCCTAGTCTCGAGTATCTCTCTTATGTGTTTAGGTTCGTCTCAGCAGACATAAAGCAGTTCGGCATTCTACACTTGCCCTAAACAGCTCCCAATGCCAGGAACTGGCAAACTAATATTTTGGTTTCAATGGATGGTCTAAAAGGATTGTCAAGGTAGGAAGCGGAGAGAGAGTTCAAGTGCGGAACTTGTGCCCACCGTGTTCAAGGTCCTGGGTTTTGTCCTGAGTATTGCACGACTCCCAGCTGTGTGGGGTGTTACCCCAGCTGGCCCAGAGAACCTACAGACCTGATAGATGAGACTCGTCTAAGTGAAAGTGTTGGAGCACTGGTCACACCCCAGAATCAATAAGGTCTCAGTGAGTTGACGGTGGTGTCCATATTCTACAACGCTTGTGTGCTCCTTATGTGCTTGGCTGTTGTAGTTCATGGGAAGTTTTGCTTAACGTTGAAGTCACAGGTTACTTCAACGGTTGGCAAGGATTGCTGGCGTTTTATTTTTATTTCTAATTAAACATTTTAAAATCTACATTGAGATGTTCAGAAGGACCTTCAATCTAAATCTTAACCGCTTCAGGATCTTTCTGAACTTGAAGAAAGGGAAAATGAAGATATTGTGGCACCACTTCAGACGCAAAGTGTGAAGATCTTCTGTGCTTTAGAGGTGGTTTTGTCGTCCTTTAACAAGAGCAGAGCCGAGGAGACTTTGGATAAACTGGAAGGTCTCTGTGGGGACTGGAATGGGGGTGTGGGTAAGAATTCATTCATTCATTCTCTTTCTCTCTCTCTCTCTCTCTCTCTCATCATATTTTCAGATACATCAGAAACATCCCTCTCCTTGCTAAGCTGCTAAAGCCTTGGGCAGATGTTTTTAACAATACTTGTTTAAATCTTAGGTATTAACTAACAGAATCATTTTTTTTGGTGGGGCTAAAGGACCCGGGGACACTTCACAATTTTAGAGCTGTCTTCCTACCAAGAACCTTAGAGATATAGGGATGGGAATACTGTTTCTCCTATTTGGGGGTAACAGTCTTCTTTGTTCCAAAGAAATTTTTCAAGTATAGATCCTGTGTAATTGTCCATTATCTCACCAAAATCTTCATTTTGATAATGAAATACACTAATAAAAATGTTTTTCCCCCCAGAATCTCTGGTACTTAGGCTTAGGGTATTAAATCAAAGGCAGGGCTGTTAGTGAAAGAACTGGAACAGACTCTGGTAGGTGAATCTTAATGAGACCAGCTCATCCTTGCCACTAGCAAACCTTTCTCAAGCTCCTGAAATTGATAGGTGATAGGGCAGACATTCGAATGGGTTGTCACTCCCCATGGGGGGTGCGGGCGTGCCATCTGCCCGAGGTTATCTAGTCACCATCACCAAAGCCCCTTGCACCTGCCTCGTGGCCAGAACCAAGGGGAGGCTGACCGGTTTGGCTCTGATCTGAGAAATGTACGCATCCCCTGGGAAGGGGGTCAGTGCCCATCTGCATGTATTACCTCTAGAATTACCACAGTTATTCAATTTGGTTACTCGTAGCTGCGGTATCCAGGTGGCTCGGGTCTGCTTTGAACACTATAATTTTTGCAAAGTAAAGGACTCCATGACAGACCGTTTACACTCGGGGCACACCAGAGAGGGGCGGGTGAGGGTCCTTCCCATCCCCAGGGACCCTGCCCGGCAGCTGATCTCCACTACCCAACTGCCGCCACTCTCCAGGCCAGGCCACTTTCACATTATAAGACACTTCCTACCCATTTTCCATAATTGCCACATCATATTTGATGGGGTTCAGACAGTAGGCAACAAATCATAGAGAGAAATATATAAATATTTGCGTCTCGGAGAGCCCGGCAAGCTACCGACTGTATCCCGCCCACACAGGCAGAGCCTGGGAAACTCCCTGTGGCCTATTCGATATGCCCAAAACAGTAATGACAACAAGTCTCATTTCCCTGATCCTAAAAGAGCTCCAATCATTGGAAGAAGCTGCTAAAATCTCAGGACTGGGAGGAATAGAGACGTTACTGGCGCCCACTCGAAGAAATCGACAAACAACAGGATGACAATGATACAGTGATTATTATAAAGTAATTTTTTTATTTTTATAAAAACATATTTGATTACATTTAATATTCAATAGCCAATCCCACGACCATTACACCTTACTACCACCATATTTTGTGTGTTTCCATCCTGAACCCGAACCCCTGCCCCAAGCAGAACGGAAACAATTTATTTTGTATTGTGTGTTCTGAATCAACTGCTGAAAATGCTCCACAAATATTTCCTTAGAGGAAAGTGTGTGAAGATTGTTCTATTTCCCCCAGGGACCATTGATTGTTCTATTTGCCCTAGGGACCATTAAGCCCTTAAATAAGAGATTATTGACATGTTGTTAATGGGTGAGCTGCACGTGTGTGTGTGTGTGTGTATAATACACACTTCTGTAAAAATATATTTCCCTCTATGATTGGTAGCCTTCTATTTTAAACCCCATCAAATGTGGTTTGCTGCTCTTGGAATATTAGTGGTGTGAGGTATGTCAAGTTCCTAGAGTAGTCTGTAGGTTTGCCCATTTGAAATACATAATCAGTGTGAGATTTGTGCACTGATCTTGACTAATTTCTCCCTTCTAGTTTACCTGTTTACGAATGTCCAGAATTGATCAGATAGCAAAAATGTATGGTAATAGCCCTGACAGAATATACTTAGCACAGAGCCTTCAAGACATAGCCTTGTGTGGTGCCTTCCCTTACTCATTAAGATCATGATGTAGTGCTCTTTTTGTTTTTTTTTTATTTTTATTTTTTTTTAACTTTTTTATTTTTGGGGTTATACCCAGCGATGCTCAGGGGTTATTCCTGGTTCTGCATTCAGAAATTACTTCTGGCAGTGCTGGGAGGACCATATGAGGTGCGGGGGCTCGAACCCGGGTCAGCCGCATATAAGGCAAACGCCCTAGCCTCTGTACTAGAGCTCCAGGCCCAGTTCTCTTTTTAGACTTCATAAAAATCAATGAGAAAGATTGGCGTAGTAAATCTATTTGTTTTGGTTGGATGTCGGACCATTACCTTTCCTTATGAAAAGGAAGAGGACTCAGAAGTTTGCTATTCAAAAGACCGTGTCAGATGCATTTCAGAAACTGCTCATTGTGGTTTAGGTAAGACTTTGTTGGTTACCTTTGAAGTACTGCAGCTTTCTTACTTGACGAGCAAGTAAATTGATTTTGAGAAGTCAATTATATTGAAAATAATGGAAATGTAAGTACTTCCTATTCCTTTGTTTACTAGATGCTTTACAGAGTAGTCTCAAATTTGTCCTTTGTGGAATCTGTGAAAAATAATTACAGCAAATATTACCCCCAATGTATAAACGTAGAATAGTTTAGACTGTGGAGAGAGTATTTGATCCAATTCCTCTTTCTCAATTGTTTGTCAGAAGAGTATAGTGGCTGTAAACTTCAGACTCCTCTGTTTAAGTACTAGCTCTGTCCTCCATTTTTTTTTCTTTTTTCTTTTCTTGGTTTCTGGGCCACACCTGCTGATGCTTAGGGCTTCCTCCTGGCGATGTGCTCAGGAACCACTTCTAGTAGGACTCGGGGAACCACATGGGGTGCCAGGGACTAAATCTGTGTTGTCTGCATGCAGAGCGAATGTTCGACCCATTGTAATAGTACTCTGGCCCTCTGTCTCATTTAGAAAATGCAACTGTAGGTCTCTAGACAGATATGTGAAGGTATTTCTAAGCCGCAATTGTCTTTTCTTTCATTTGCGTTTTGGGTCACACCCAGGGATGCTGAGGGGTTACTCCTGCCTCTGCACTCAGAAATTATCCTTGTCGGAGCTCGGGGTCCACATGGGATGCTGGCAATCGAACCCAGGTCAGCCGTGTGCAAGGCAAACACCCTCCCTGCTGTGCTATTGCTCCAGTCCCTTTTTTAATTTAGCTTACCTTATATTGTAAAAGTAAATACTTAACACTTACCTAGAACTGCACTCATTTGCGGAATATAAAGTAACAGAATGGGATGACTAACACCCAAGGATAGTAGAGATAGGGACCAGGAGGATTGCTCCACGACTTGGAAGCCAGCCTCACATGCTGGGGGAAAAGGCAGCTCAGATAGAGAAGGGACCACCAAGTAAGGGATGCTTGGAGGGCCCATTCGGAATAAGAGATGTGTGCTGCAGGTAGACTACAGGCGGAACATGATGGCCACTTAATGCCTATATTGCAAACCACAACCCCCAAAGGAAGAGAGAGGTTGAAAGGGAATAGGCCTGCCATGGGGGGTGGGGGGTGGGGGGTGGGTGGAATGAGGGAGTCGTGGGAGGGATACTGGGAAGACTGGTGGTGGAGAATGGGCACTGGTGGAGGGATGGGTACTCAATCATTGTATGACCGAAACATAAGCACGAACGTTTGTAAGTCTGTAACTCTATCTCACAGTCATTCATTAAAAAGAGAAAGAAAGAAAGGGGCTGGAGCAATAGCACCTTGGGTGGGGTGTTTGCCTTGCATGCAGCTGACCTGAGTTCGATTCCCAGTATCCCATATGGTCACCTAGCACCGCCAGGAGTGGTTCCTAAGCGCAGAGCCAGGAGAAAATCCTGAGCATTGTTGGGTGTGACCCACAAAAACAAAAAAATAAGAAAAAGAAACATTACATAATAAAAATAAAATAAATAAATGTTTAAAGAGACTTACCTAGAATTTAGTAAAGGACGAAATATTCTAATTATTGCTACTATTTTCCTACTGAAGAGGAAAATTAACTGGAATCAGTTCGTGGTTGGTTTTCAGCACTGACATATTGAGAGTTTGTGATTCGATGTACCAACCAACTATTTGTTGTGAACCTTCACAGTGATTCTGCTGCGGCCAGGAAGATAGCTAAGAGGCCTAGTGCACATGCTATGCATGTGGAAGGCCAGGTTTGGATTCCTGGCACAACATTAGCGTCCAGGAGCAGCCCCCAAGTACTTCGGTCAGGAGAAGACTTAACACTGCTGGGTGTGGCCCCCAACAAAAACAAATAGTGGTCATACTATTTAAGATTTTTAAATGTTCTCCTCTTATGGAATTTTCTAGTGCTATGGATATTTCCGGCTGTGCCCAAAGGAAAGTGAATAATCTGTAGAGAGTCCACAAACAGAATTGCTTTCCTTGCTTTATAGCCCTGCAGTCTTAGAGAAAGGAATTTTCAGTTGTCAGAGACCTTATTTATTACACGAGTAGCTCCTGGGTTGACTTCAGCCTTGCAGTCTGGGCAATTTTCTAGCAAAAGAGACTTCTGTGGTCATCTGGTAAAATTTCTATCAACTATAATAACTTTTAAGAACCAATGGGGGGTTAGGAAGATGGTACCAGAGCCTTGCATATCCCTGGCACGGCATATGGTCCCCTCTAGTACCATCAGGGAGCACAGAGCCAGGAACAGTCGCTGAGTACCAGAGGGTAGGATCTGCAAACCCCAGATAAAAAGAAATGAAAGAAGGAGTGGGTTGGAGAGATAGCTCAACAGGCTGAGCACATTCTTGGCATGCAGGAAGCAGGTTTCAGTTCCAGCTCAGCACTGCATTGCCAGGAATGACTCCAAGTACTAAGTGGGTATAATCCCTAAGCACCTTTGAGAATGGCCTCAGAACAGAGAAGCAAAAGGAACCAAACTTAATGTCTGCATTGACAAGGAAAATGCTCTTATTTTATGCTTTAGAAATAAAATTATTGGACGTATAAAGGAAGTACACACCCACTATCACTGTGCACTACCTTTATAGAAAGAACATTTTAGCCAATAAGTTTGAATTGATCCTTGTTAACTTTATTTCAGAAAGTGGTAAAGTAGCTGTGGAATATCGGCCTTTTGAGGAGCTCACTGATGCCAGAACCGAAGGACTACATGATTTAATTCAAGTATGTGAAGAGAAAAACTCAAGGATGACATATACAGGATGTCTGTAATTCAAAATAATGAGCAGATTTTAGAAATTTTGAGCATGTGTAGGCAATTCTAGCACCCCCAGAAAAATATGAAACTCTCAAACTTTATTTGAGGGAATTTCTGAATTTTCCCTGAAGTCCTAGCCATTGGTTCTAAAGCCTTCTTTGAAATGTGGAGAGTTCTGAGTGCCCTCTGAGTTCTGTCAGAGAAATACCTTTTTGAACTCCTCTTAAACAGGATCTAGGGATTTGGGGCCTTAAGTACAATTATGTTACAGCATTCGAAAAGTTATCATTTTTTTCAAGTATGATTTCATACCTAGAGCTTAGCATCTCATATATATCTTGTATGAAATATTTTATGAAAGAACCTTTCTGTTCAACAGTTGCACAGTATTCCACATTAGGAATTAACTTGTTAATTTCCAGGAGAACATATGAATACACTATGTGTGTATTCGGGGGATGGTGGGGGGCGGCAAAATGTGTTTAATATCATTGGGAATAAATTTGGAGTTGGATATATGTAATTAACATGGCTCAAAGTCAGAAAATTTGTTTCCAAAGTTAGGGAGTTAGGGGAAGATAAAGAGAGAAAAGGTGATTCTGTTCCTCTTGTTGAAAATCTGTTTTTTTCCTTTGTAAAATAAATTTTATTTGTGGGTAAGGTAGCGGGATTCACACTTGGTAGCGCTCAGGAATTACCCAGCCTGGCTCTTTGTTACAGTCACTTGTCGAAGTGCTCGAGGGACCAGGTGATGGTAGGGATCAAATTCAAATCTTTCTTGTGCAAAGCATGTGCTCAATCTCTTGAACTATTGATCTAGTCCTGCAAAGAACTTTTTTAAATAGTTTAAATCAAACCCACCAAGAAAACTTCCAACACCTACAATTTGGTCTTAAAAGACTTAGCTTAGGAGCCTGAGACATAGTTCATCAGGCTGGAGCATGGACTGTGATGAGGGAGACCTGGGTTTGATACCTGCCACTGCATGGCCTCCTGAGCACTGTCAGGTACAGCGTCAAACACCTCCAGGTGTGGCCCCCAAAGAGACAACAATGTCCACCTTACTAAGAAAGGTGAGAAGACATTTCGTACTAATGCCAAAGAATTCAGAAAACGAACATCCATCCCTAAATGAGGCTACTCTTGGAACCAACTCCATTCGGGGCTTTCTACTCAACTAGAGAGCGGGAAGAAGCCCCTTCTCATGAAATTTATATTCTGGAAGTGTGAGATAATAAAAACTGATATGGATGAGAAGAAGGACTGTGAAGAAAGTAAAATGGGTGCTAGTTACAGTATTGCAAGAAAGCCTTTTCACTTTCTGACGTGAACATCCTAAGTGTTCCCTCCGAGTGCTAGAAGGGCAGCCCTCTAGAAAGGAGCTTGCTCCTTTTTCTCCATGAATTTATGTTGAGTTCCATGCAAGAAAGGGGGATTTCCCCCCAGGCTGGTGTAAAGGAGTGCATATGGCTGTTCATTCCGTTCAAGAATGGTCTCCCAGAATCAACTGTTTCTGGCCCCAGAGCCCTGCTTCAGAAAATTTTGGGTCCCTGATTCCATGCTATCCCCTGTCTAGGAGAGTGATAAATAATCAGAGAGACTAAGAGCTTAAAGGAAATGACAACATTTGTGAACCCCCACCCACCCGAAGTAGTGCTCCTCTTGCAGGTCAACTGCCTTTCTTGGAAGCAGGATGGCCAAGGGGAGGACGAATGTCTCTTGGATTTCAGTAGTGAGGAGGAAGCACCAAGACCACCACAGCTGGATTAGTGCTGTTGAATTCACCAGTGTTCCCTGTCTGGGGACAAGCTGCTCCTCCCCCACCCTTGGGGCTCCGCCCAAACGAGTGGGCAGTCCCAGTCCTGTTGGGTGGCAAGAGTGGGAGGGGAGGCAAGGGGGGTGGGGTAGAGGACCTGATTGGATGTGTTTGGTGCCTTGGGGGAAAAAGGAAAGCCTGGGTCCTGCTGGCTTTGAGGAGCCTGCTTTGCCCAGATCCAATAAAGGCGCTTAAAGGCTCATAAAGGTGGTGAGGGGTGGGTTCTGCGGTTGCCAAGGGCCTGTGGTTGCCAAGGGCGTGGTTGATAAGGGCATGCACGGGCAGCGCCCAGCTGCCTTAATTCCTTAGCCATGGATGTGGCAATAAAAATACTAACAATTCTTTTCTCTACCCATATACAGGGCGCTCCTCTCCGGGGGAGAGTCCTACCCCCAGTCCCCCTGGCCCCCAGCCCCCCAGGCCCCCCCAATCCCTGGCTTTCACCTTCCCCTGATCCTGCCGCTGAATCACCCCCTACCCTTCGGCCCCAGATTTCCAAACTTCTCAAATATATTCTTTCCCCCGAAAACCGGGGGAAGGATCCAGTTCACCGTGACCATCCTGCTGAAGGTATTGTAACTCCCAGGAAATCTATGAGACCTCGTCGTCTACCACCACCGACGCAGGAGGATTACTTAGATTCCTCTAGGTCTCACCAGTTTTTTATTCCACACCTTGGTTTCACTGACAAACCGGCAGCACATCGGAGGCTCGCAGGTGGAACTATTTCCGAACTTCTCACTTATCTTCTTTCCCCTGAGAACCGGGGGAAGGATCCAGTTCACCGTGACCATCCTGCTGAAGGTATTGTAACTCCCAGGAAATCTATGAGACCTCGTCGTCTACCACCACCGACGAGTATGGATATGGATATCTTTTATCCTGAGGGGAGTCAACCTTTGGTGGGAGATTCAGAGAAACATCCACAGATCCGTCACAAGGCTGGATCCTTTTCACCCCAGCCTCAGCATCCAGAAACCTTTGAAGAGCTAGAACAGCTTCCCTTTAAGACCCTGGAAGCTGAACTTTCAGCAAGCACACAACAGAGCCCAGCTGCACTTCTAGGATCTCCCGAGGAATCAAAACCTCTGGTAGTTCCAGACTCAGATTTGCTGTCAAGTACCCCTGAAAAGGGTGATACTGCTTCAGTCCTGCCAGAAACCCTAGTTCAGCCTACATTGGCTTCCGAGGAGAGAGGATCTTCAGTGCCTCAGGAGGTGGAAGCTCAGCCTTTAGAGTCAGGACTGGAACTTGGAGCGCGTGATCAGGAAAACAGAGTGTCACCGATACCAAAGGAAGTCCATCTTTCAAATACAGCTACTGTCACCATCAAACCTGCCTATCTGCAGATTCCCGGAACTCCAAGGGTCCCCAGTGAGGGGGAAACATCAACCCAGCCAGAAGCCCTAAATATCACTCGCACTGCAGAACGCCTTAGGGAAAAGAAACAATCTCTAGCCCAAGAGGAGGCCCAGTTTGCGGTACTAGAGAGCCCTGACAGTGGCTCTGCCATACGGCAGGAGACAGTGCCTCAAGCTCCAGACATCCCTGAGGTGACTGAATCTTCAGTCCAGCAGAATCCCCTAGCTCAGCCTCCTGAATCCCCTATGGAGTTTGAAGCTCAACCATTTCTGCATTCTGAAGAAAATGTTCCACCTCCAAGTCAGAATGAAGCTCTAAGCTTCAATTTACCCCAGGTCACTGCTAAACCTATGGGTGTGACATTTCCTTTATATACAGAGTTCAATAATGAGGTCAGACCATCAGACCATCCTGAACATGTGTCATCACCAAGTAAGAATGAAGCTCAGCTCTTAAATGTTCCCAGTGTGAGGGGAAAACTTGTGGGTATGACAATTAACATGTTTCCAGAGGTCAGTAAGGAGGTTCAACCTGCTCCAGAGCAGCACGAGGTCTCAGCTCAGCCTCCAAGTGAAGTTGACCTTTCAAACTTGCCCCACGTCACTGTAAAACCTGTGATGGTGACAATTTCCATAGCTCCAGAGGTCATTAATGGGGTTCAGTCCTCAGTCCAGAAGGAATCACAGACTCCAGCTTCAGAGCTCTCTTTACCCAAATCTTCTTTAGCCCACCAGCAGGTCCAAGGTGAAGGTCCACAGCTCTCTGAGACGATGGACTCTCCATCAGTCCTGCAGGAGTCCCAGGATAAAATGCTAGGGTCCCCTGAGGTGACTCCATCTTCATCATATGAAACCACTGACCTCACGAAGGTGGGAAAATCGTCCGTCTTCCAGGAGGCACAGACTCAAGGTCCAGAGCACCCTGGGAAAAGCTTTTCTACTAAGGAGCAAGAATCTTCCCAGCTGATAGAGAACCTTCAAGATTGTGTCACTAAAGCTCAAGGGGATCTACTCCACCTTCTCTCGAGAACTGGACACCTGTCCACTCTCAAAATCTCGAAAATATATAGGTTGCTATCTAAGAGTACAAAGAGGTATCATACTCATCATAAGAAACCTAACAGTAACAAGTCTGAAACCACTAAAACTGTTTTATCTTCTGCAACCCAGGAGGACGTCGTCCCTAAGATTCCTGAGCATCTTGAGGTAGTCATTTCTTCAACTCAGCCAGGCACCTCTTCTAAGCGTCCAGACTCTATAGCGTGGAGTTCTGAAGCTTTCCGAATTCAGACTCTGGAGAATCAGAAGGTGACAGTTTCACCAGGTCCCCATCATGTGAACACTCGTTCACTCTCAGCTGACATTTCAGCTCCACCCAGTGTGGGGGTTTTGAAGACAATACCTTCTCCAACCACACAGAAGAACAAGGTTCAACATTTTCATCAGAATCGGCCTTCTACAAATCAATATTTGACTGTAACTCCAGAACACACGGTGAAGACTAAACCCTCGACAACCCTGACAAGTACCAGTGCTACAGAACAGTCAAATATGACACTTATCACACCGTCTCGGAGTCCTTGTTCAAACCTGAGTGGAGTCACATTTCCACCTAAAAACAAGGACGTTACTGTAACTAAAGGCAGTTCAGTTATATCTCCCACCATGCAAGAGACTTCAGCTCAGTCTTCAAAGGCCTCCAAGAAAGCTGAGGTGAGAGTTATAACAAGTACCACTCTGACCACCCCCAGACAGGGAAGGCCTTCAGAACAGCGTCAGCATCAGCAGAGAGATCTTGGTAAATACACATCTGTACCTTTGTGCTTAGCTCCAGAACCAGAAACATCAGGAACAGCTCATTCTTCTCCGACTCAGTCTTCAACTGTGCCTTCTGTACGATGTAGTTCAGAAAAGGCAAATGCTGCTCCGACAACCCCCAGTGAGGAAATGCCTTCAGAACAGCCTCAGCATCAGCAGACAGATCTTGGGGAACTCACATCTCCACCTTTGTACGCTACTCCACAACCAGAAACATTGACGACACGTCATTCTTGTCTGATTCACTCTTCTGCCCAGCCTGCTGTACGACATGCTTCAGAAAAGGCACACGTAGATTTCCCTGAGCAACTGGAACAGAATGTCTCCATGACCTTTAACATATGTGAGCTCTGTACCTGCACAGATAAGACCCTCTCCTGCTCCGGTCTCAGTCCAGAGAAGAGGCTCCATAGAGTGCCTGTGCCAGGGCCCAACACCAACACCTTCACCGTCCTGTAAGAATCCCCTTTCCTCTGTTCTCTGCATTCTGCCTATTGACATAGAGAGCCTTTTCTTCAATGTCTCCCTGTGTCTGCCTCATCCCCCCCCAGCCCACGTTAAATGATTTCCGCTTTTTATCTTTTGTTAGTCAAAAGATATCCTCATTCTCCTTATCTGTTGCTGCTGCTTCTCTAGTCTTTTGGTTATAAACGTCCGTACCCTTTTTCCTTCTCTATTTTTATCTCACCATCAGCCTATCCTTCATCCCATCATCCACTCATTTAATTCCTTAACCTTTGTTTCCTTTGTGCTACAGCCTTTTTTTAAAAAAAAAATAGTTTGTCCTCCTTATCTTTTATTGCTGGTGCCACAATCTTGTGCTTATGGACATGAATTCTGGAGCCAGATTGCCCGAGTTTGCATTTGTTAGCTTTGTTACCTTGGACAAGTTATTTAGCTCTGTGACTCAGTTCCCTTTTCTTGAGGTGGGGGTAATGGTAAGTTATCACCTCCTAATATTGTTGTGATACTTGTTGATTTTGATACTTATGAAGTTAGTACCTTGAAACAAGTTTAACATGAATCCCTATAGAGATGAGGCCAAGGTGGTGGAGAAGGGTTGACTGTGAGATCTAACCAGCTCCAATTGCAACAAAAGTAATACTATGAAATCTATGTAAATACTTTGGGCCAGAGTGATAGTACAGTAGGTAGGGCATTTGCCTTGCACGTGTTCCACCTAGTTCTGATCCCCGGCATCCCATATGGTCCCCTGAGCACCACTATCAGTGATTCCTGAGTGCGGAGCCTGGAGTCACACCTAAGTATTGCCGGGTGTGGCCTCCCCGTGAAACTATATACTTATATCGGGCAACTAGCATACACATGAATGCTGTCTGTATTCATTAATCTCTCATTTCAGAATTACAGTTGTTTACATTGACTTTCCATATAAAGCACCCATTTCCCTCAACCTAGCCACAACAATATGTCATCGGCTCTTAAACATGATGGTATTGGGGAGAAAGGGAATACACAAAAAGGAAAGGCAGCGTGTCACCAAGCACCAACAGAGGCACAGAAATGTACAGAATCTTGTCAGTTGTGGAAAGCTGCAGAGAGCTGACACAGAGCAACTTTAGCTGGGAATTAGAGGTTGATTTTTTTGGATCAAAAATTATTTATGTGCTGGGCATATAAAAAGCTGTGCACGTTTGGTATGATTTTTGTGTTTGGAGATATGTAATATGCTTGTAATATGAAACAGTTATGAATCTGTGCCTCCTTAAACATATCCCTCAACTTGTGGCTTAGACATCATAAAGCATCCAGAAGTCTTGAGTGGAAATGTTCAC